TAAAACATGAGACTCACACTACAAGAACTCACAAGGCGGTCCTGAAGAAGAAGCCACGATCCGTGAAGTCCCAGCCGTAGGTCGTGGGTGCAAACCTAGGTCGGGTTTGCAGCTGCCGGCATTCTGCAAGTCTTCCTGGGCACATCATTCAAGGCGTATACTTCCCTGAACGCGTTGAAACCCTACAAAAGCCCCACAAACACCGCAAAACCTCATCACAGCGAAGCCGAGGCCGCGTCACACGCCAGGAGACGCCCCGAAAGGCGCTGGTCACAGGAGGCCGCAGAAGGATATGCCTCGGCAGGATGTGTATAACGGTTTATGCGTGAAAGGGATCTGATGATAAGGTCTCTACAACGCTTCTGCAAAAGGTTTACAAGAATTCAAGGTTCTTCACCAGGGTTTCACGAGGGGCTATGCGGGTTCTACAAGCGGGTCCGTACTCAAAGCTTCTACTTACATCTCGGGACTTCATAATTAAGTAAGGTGAGGCGACAGTTTGCAAGCACGGTCATGAGACACTTGGGGAACGACTTACTTTGTCATTCGTCCACTATTATAATTATCTTAATCCAATACAACATTATCCAAAGCCCCAACCCCAAACCGTAAACCCCAATGCCCCAAGACTGAACCCATGTAAGTCCCTGGAACACCCTGTACAAAAATCTTCTCAAAAATCGCTCTGCAACACCACAAAGCCAATAAAAACCCCAAACACCACCATGAGAGACTCTAGGGGAGTTTCTGAAAATTGGGGTACCTTATTTTGGGGTCCTTATAATAAGGATCCTACTATTTAGGGTACTATATTAGGGTCCCCTATTTTCGGAATCTCTAGTCTTAGTGTTTGTCAGAAGCCCCCCCCCCAAAGCACGAGGGCCCCCTTTTTCGTGTCGCTACCGCGCCGCTGCCTGTGCCCGAGCCTGGCGAACCAGGCCCAGTAGACCGGTTTCGCCGGGGTCCGCCAGGCCACCCGAGGGCCTGAACTAGGAATTTAGGGTTTAGGGTTTAGGGTAAAGCCGCAAACATGCCGTTTCAGGGCTTAGGGGCTGAAGGTTTAGGGGCTCAGGGGGTTTATAGCCCCATCGTTGCACCAACAAAACCCCCAAGACCAACTCCTGACAGGTTATGGCAACTGACACCGAAGCCCATGGGTCCCACACGTTCGTGTGCTTCAGGGAAGCCGACTAAACCATGGCATGAATGTAGCTGCAGAATCAGGCGCACGTGATTGGGATCGTGATATAACCACATCGGAACAAAATGATGCAAGGCGACAACCTGACAAAGATCTGCATGACGAAGAATATCATGGCAGGAAGACATGCCAGGCAATCTAGAAAGCAACGCAGTAACCCAAAAACTGTAGTTTCAGACAATAGTGGACTCTGGTTTTGAAACCCTACAGTAAATAGTAGGGTCCTGATCACTAACAAGGACGACCCCCTGCAAGGAGATAGTAAGAAACCCCTGTGTAAACCCGTCCTCGACCCAAAATAACAAAGTACCGTAATATCCAATAATACTTGAAAATATTGCTTCCAGAGGGCAGGTATTCGAAGGCCATGGGCTTAGCCGACGCTGCCGTTGCCCGACCCTCCTCGAGGAAGAACTGCAGACCGGCCTGGGTCTGATCTAGGATCCTCTCTACTACAGGGATTAGGATTTGGGGTGGGTTTTAACAATTAGAATAGTGTTTGGGAGTTATACTACAAGTTTGGGGTTTTGAGGGTTCAGAGTGTTGCAAGAGACAAAGAAGTGACTTCACCGTACAGCCGGAAGGTTGTTGTGAAAGACTTGGGTTGAGTGCGGGGCTTTTAGGATTTCTTTTGGGCATGGGGTGGTTTGGAGTTGTTGGCATGGTTGTTCGGGCTCAGTTGGGCCAGCGCACTCAAGCTTAACAGCTAGACCCCTTCCCCCAAATAAACAACTAGAAAAGACGAGAATGGCATGTGCAGATCTTCACCGTCCATGCCCCTGGAAGGCCGCAATGTACACGAAGTGCAACACAGACCACTAAGATCCCGGTGAGGTTCCCTTCTATTCTACTAGGAAGGGGCCATTGGGTGAACCTGACTCTTACCATGGAAACCCCTGGACTGCGCCCGTTACCACTATTAGGGCCCCACAAAAGCACATAAGCAAAAATTGGGATAGTGATATCCCATATCAACCCCCTTATAATGAAGCCCAATAAGGTAGGGATATCCCTATAAAATGCTTATCCTTATCTGGGTTGTAGTTTGGGGGCCCTGAAAAGTATTTATGCATAGGTACCTCTATAGAAACCAGACCATAAGGGAAAATTTTAAAGTTTCCCGAATTGCCACCTAGTTATGTGCTTTTTGGGTTCTTAAGCTATAGTCCACAGCTTGGGCCTGCAGGGCGGAGACGGCGTAGCCGGTCTCTTCGAAGCGGGCGGCCTCTGGGGCTTGGGGTGGTTTGGAACAAACCCCAAGGGTCCAAAGGACCCAATAATCAGGTACTTAGGGTTTAGGGTTTAGGGTTTAGGGATTAGGGTTTAGGGGTTAGTAACCCCCAAGGGTCCAAAGGACCCAATAATCAGGTACTTAGGTTTCGGATAGTAGTTCTGTAGGTTACTATTTGGGAGAGTATATGATTATGAGGTACTTGGACCCTGGGGGAAAGGGTTCAGAGGCTTTTGTCCTTGGCGCCCTTGGGGGCTGAGAGTCGGTCTGCGGCCAGGGCCGTCTGAGGTCTGGGATTAGGGTTTAGGGTTTAGGGTTTAGGGTTTAGGGTTTAGGGTTTAGGGTTTAGGGTTACCCGTCGGGGTTTTGATTTTGGCATTGGGGTTGAGTGTTGATCGTGCGCAATGGCCTTCCAACGCGATATTCAGCGCAGAGCACTAAGACTCCACATCGCCCTTGAGTTGAAGGTAGGTGCCAGCTTGGGAATTCACCTCCTAAAACAGAGCTGGGATGCCTGTGGATTGGATCCCCTCGTGTACTAAAGGAGGTCGGGCTAGTCAGAGTCCTCCTGCTCCGACGACCTCTTTGAGAAGCCTTACAGTTACAGAACCGTCTTTATTGAAGTACCCCAAAGAGGCCTCGCTGCCCCCGGAGCGGCTCGAGGAGCCCTGGAAGCAGGCTGGCTTTCAGAGCTCAGGGGCTTTCTGGGTTTTGAGGTCCCTTTTTTGGGGGGTCGTGGCAGGTGCTTAGGGTTGAGGGCTCAGGGTCTTGAATATTAGGGGGTTTCGAGCTCCGGTGTCCAAGGACTCAAGGCTGGGGATCGGGGTGAAAAATCTTCGGTTGAAGAAGCCTGCAAGTACATCTCCACGTGGGCGATGTGCGCCAGGAAAGACTTCACCTGGAGGTTCAAACATCGGAGGTCAGCAAAGACCGCACCACCGGGCATGATCTTCTTGTTCTCTTTGCATCGACAGATGCGAGAAATTTGGAGTCCGGAGAGTAGGGGGCCCGAATGTAAATCCTACTGGTACATCGCAGGATGCTTATTGCACAGAGACCCCCAACACTACGGAAGCTCATGTCTGGACTGGTCTATGACACAGGCGCCTGGCTTCGGTACACCACGAGGATGAACCTTGGGGCTCTGTGATTGCATGGTTGCATCTTCGCTTTACATACACAGACAGCGGCTTAAGTCCACGAAGGATTCTGAACTGACATGACCAACGAATACCGCAAACATACCGAGCAACATCTAACAGTGTAGCGGCATACATACATACATACATACATACATACCTACCTACCTACATACCTACATACATACATACATACATACATACATACATACATACATAAATGCATGCATGCTTGCATGCATACATACAGAAATACACAAACAAACACATTCCGATAGATAGATATAGTGAGTCCCAGAAAGTTGGAACATGGATTTAAGATGATCTGTGCTAGGATCCCCTACAGTATGCTTTTCCTTCAGGGCATGAGGATAATGATGTTTCAGCTTTCTGGCTTCTACTATAGACAGGTAGATAGATAGAAAGACAGATAGATAGATGCAAAGATAGATAGATGGATAGATAGATAGATAGATAGATAGATAGGGAGAAAGAAAGATAGACAGATAGACAGATAGATAGACAGATAGACAGCTAGCTAGCTAGCTAGCTAGGTAGGCAGGTAGATATTTACAGACATACACACACATGCTGACTTACTGACTTACTTACCTACTTACTCACTTACATGTATACTTGCATGCACGCATGCACATGCAAATACATATCTACCCCTGCGTACACAACTTCCTACCGCCTACAAAACATAAATGCTTACATCCATGCATTCACACATTCTAAAGCTTGCGTGCGTGCATGCATGCATGCCTGCAT